TCAAAAACTAAGTGAACGTTACGTGGTAATATATTGCGTGTTTTATATACCTTTGCACCACATTTTGTTAAAAATTTGTATTTTATTTGTAATTCTATTTATCTTTTTGGTAGTCATGTGATATTCTCTAAAGATAAATTACCGAAATGGAAAAGATCATTGATCATCGAGGAATGGTCTCAGTTTAAATGCAATCCTGCTTTCAAAAAATTTTATGTTATGATGTCATTAAATAAAATTTATATAAAAGTTAAAGCTAAAGATGGTAAGTTTTTTAACATTTTAGGGAAGATGTTAGCATTCGTAAGTGCTTTTTTACAATTCATTTTGTTTTTAGTAATGCAAGTCTTGACTGCGTTTGCTTTTACTGTATCATTTCATACTCATACTTTTATGTCTAAATTGGCAAGTACTTCCTGAAATTAATTAATCTCAATAGACGTGAAATATCTTGTTCCTACTATTAAAATTAAATTCAGAAATAGTTGTAAGTCCTCAGTATGCCTATTATTTTTTGTCGTCTAATTCAATGTTTATATATTTTTTTTTAATTTATTCAGTTTTTAAGGATTTGAGGTTTTTGGAAAAATCTACTATACATTTAGTTATTTCATCAAGTGATAGGTAAATCGTCAGCAAATAAATCATTATTGTTATGGACCAATATAAGTTTTCTTTCTATGCCTTTAATTATAGTGAAGTCTTAAAGGATCAGGGATTTTGTTGCAGTTCATAGTCAAGAATGGGGGTTACGCAGAAGAATATATGTTCAAATTGCATTTTTTGTGTAAAGTTGTGTTAAATAAGTGCTTACCCTTAGGAGTACATATTCGGCACCATTAGTAAAAGTGTTGCAGTATAGTCGCTTTGAAGCGCTTACATATTAAACAATAAAAAAATTATTTATCAATTCAAAATTTAAATCTGTTTCACACATGTTTTCTTCAACTGGTTAACGTTTCTTTATTGATATCTTTAAGGTGTCAGCTATCTCCTGTTACTTAACTTTAGAGTTTGTCAAAAAAGGATATTGTGGATTTTTTTAATTTTCTGATGTCGTCACCACCAAGTGGTGACATCATGTCTTCATATTAAGACATGAATTGCTTTATATCTATAGTTTAAAAAAATATAAAAAGTTGCGTCACTAAAACAGCTGCGACTTAAATAATAAATGTTTAAATGTCATAAAATTTTGACTGGTATCATATGGAAGTTGCTC